AGGCCCAGGTCTCCCACTGCACCTGGGGCCATCTCCCATCATACTGATCTAGATCTTGCCACTGGACCCAGATGGCTCTGGAGAAGAAAGTGAGACTGGTTACTTTGCACAGCCCTCCCTCACTTAAATCCAATTCACTTGCAAGTCATGGCATCACCTTTCTGATATAATGGTCCTCTACAAGAATGAGACAACAATAGATAGACTTTTCATGAATTGCTGAGGTGAAAGGAAATCATCACCTGGTCTTTTGATGATGAGACACTCTACCTTTCTCTAGAATAGAACTCAAAGAACAGAAGCACAGAATGTCATTGGGACCATACTTGGAGCCTTTTCAGCTGGGTAGATCCTGGCAGAGCTTACATCCTTCTTGAATAACCTCAGAGACTCTGGGTCACCTACAGATTCCAGTGCGATACGAGAACAGGGCTTTTGTGGATAAATAATAATAGCGCACTTTATGATAGGACATGTCTTATAATAGCTCACTTCATGAGAACACATCTTATAACAGAATCTTATGATGTCATACACATATGATAAGGCTCAGTTAGCTAGTACATGATGTCAATCACATCATGGCTAGAGGTTTGGTCTCTAGATAGGACAATTTATTAACACCAAGTTGTACCCACCCAGAAACTGAAGACTCCATGGGTCTACATGCTCATGGAATCTTAGAACTAGAAGGGATCATAGGGATCATTTAGTTCAGTCCTTAACTACTTGATTTCTCTCTACAAAATTCCTGCCAAGCAGTCATGCCTCCTCTTATTAGATAACTCTACCAATGTAAAAGTCACTACCTCCTGAGTTAGCCCTCTCTCTTTTTGAACAACTCTAATTTAGGAAGGTTTCCTTATGGGGAACATTAATGTGCATCTCTGTTACTTTTACTCAGTGCTCCTACTTCTTTCTATCTTCTGGAGACAAGAACAAATCAGATCCCTCTTCCATGTGCCACTTACATAAACAATATCAAGTCCTATCCTATCCTTCTCTCCTCTATGATAACCACCTCTGATTATTCGTACTGACACAATCTTTAGCATTTTCATTGTGACTGCTTGAGAAGAGAAACATAACAGAACAAGATTTGTATTTCTGGGCCATGTCCCAGATATGGAAATAATGAGGTCTTGGCTAAGAATGGATTACATCTAATGAGGTCTGGTGAAATACAGTTGCTTGGAGTTTGGAGGATGAGATCAAATTGCCCTTAAGTGGAAATTGGAGTAGGAAGGAGAAAAATGCCAACATATATTTCCCCAACCTTTCAGAAGCTGCAGAGAGTAGCAGATATGATCTAGGAAGTAGAATATCTACTGTTTTATAGGAGGCATTATCCAAGAAGAGAAGCAATAATAAAATAAATCATCTCATATGAGTATATTCAAATATATTAAATATGAGTTATAAACAATTAGAGATGTTAATGATGTTGGTAAAAATCATTCCTCCATTGTAAAACAGTATGAGAGAAGATACTTGTGACTAATCTGTTAACCCTGTGGGGAAAGGTCTCTAGGTAAATCTCTTTTTATATCTCCAAGCCCACGCTAGCTATCCACCATGCTAACGGGAAAAGAAGAGACAATGGAGATGAGAGTTATGGAATTTCTCATGTCAGGAAAACCATACACTTATAAAAAGGCAGATTAGACCTTATCAACATTTTGGTGTAAAGAACTTTGGATTTTGAATAAAAAAAGCCTAATGCTAGATTTGCTATTTCCTTTTTTACCCTGGGGAAGTAATTTACTCTTTCCAAGTCTCAATTTATTCCATATTTAAAATGAGCATGTACTGAATTGTTTCTAAAATATCTATCATTTATAAATCTTAAAAAATCATGATATCACTGAAATTTGGAGGGATATGGTTTATATCTGCAATAGAAGTTAAATCTAATTTAAAAAGCAAAAAGATAAAAAAGAGGATAGTATAGCACTGCACATCTAGAAAATGCAGTCTTGTGGTGAAATGCACAATTGGCTGCAAGCTTGGGAGCATCTGGATGATGACTAATGGTAGGAGAAACACAAGGAGTTTCCTGGTGGGAGTACCCTACAGCCCATATAACCAGAAACAGGAAATAGATAATGTGTTTGAGAAATAGAATACAAATGTGGCACATTGTCATGATATACTACCGATGGGGGCCTTTATCAGAATAAGCATTAGAGATCTTTCTGTTAAAATCATAGCAGATAAGAAATTCTTGCCTTACTGATAAGCTTTTTCTTTTTTTCTTTCTTGATTTTTTAATGTATTTGATATTCACTGTATCCATAGTCTCCCAACCTGCTGCAGAAAGGAGGAAAATAGTTTCAATTATCTTATTCCCTGAGGCCAAGATTTTCAGCTTACTATGATTCATTTTTTTTACAAAAACTTTTATATCATCCACATCCTTGTCATCTTTGTTGAGTTATCATTATCATAACTGAAGAGTTCAGTGATGTAAGACTGTGGGTACTCATTGAGGAAGAATGATTCTGGCATTTTATTTAAAGGACAGTCACGTATTGAGTAATGAAGATATACTTCAATACTTTGAAGGCAATGTGATCTCTTTCATGTCAATTATTCTTCCACTGATACCTCTTGCCACTCCTTTATGAATAACTTCTTTCAAAGGTCAAGGGAACCTCTTCTCCACCCCTGATTCTGACCAATAAATGAGGAGAAACATTGTAGAAGTAAAATGGATGAGGACCTTGGGAGGCAGTGACAATACCTTCCTAGCATTCATGATAGATAAAGAAATAAATGTGCGATTATTTCTGATTACATCATGGATTTTGAGAGAGTGAATGTCAAAGGTTTCAGAGAAACAATAGATAGCATCCGATGGCCCACAATTTTACTAAGAAAATTCAATCAAGGGAGATGAAATGCACTCTAAAGCAAACACAATTATGTTGAAGAAGAAAAGGAGAGAAGCTGTTTAAAAGATAAATGTGGCTACACAGGGTACTCATTTCCCCACTTAGCCTTTCCAAAGGTATTTATAAAAGAAGCAAGAATCTGGTAAGTAAAAATGAATACAAAAAAGGCCAATGACAAATAAGGATGATTTTAATGTCACTGAACTGAAACTGATGATGAATGTTCAGCACAATCATAAAGAGCTTTCTACTTTTTAAAAACTACATTTGACAAAAGACAAAACTCAAAGAAGGAAGGGGACCACTTCACAGAGTGAGTGGAATGATAGTAAGAGAAGATAGAACTACAGCTAGGTCCCAATCAGTGTGAATAAGGAATCCAGTGAAGTGTCACATTAATCAAATTTGCATTGTGTATTTCTATTTGGCTGGAACAAATGGTAATTTTTAAAAAACATAATTATAATTTCAAAGGATATTAAGATGTTTCTGTTGTGTCTACCAAGAAAAATGGTATTAGAACATGGTGATAAGGCACAGAAATGATTAACAAAGAATGGAAACCCATGAGAGATGGTAATTAGAGAGCTTCTGAGTATCTTAATAGACATAAGTCAACCGACATGGATTAACATCTCAGGGTGCTAAAAACAAACAAATAAAAAACCTTGATGACTTATTGCCAAGTCACTAACAGTGATGTCTGAAAAGTGACAGTGAGTGGGAGAGGTTCTGCAGGCCTGGAAATGGACAAATGACCCAATATTATTTTTAAGGGAGGTTTGTGGACACTTTATACCATAAGCTAGTGAGCTGGACTTCAACTATCAACACAATTTACTAAACATTGCAAAGGTATAGAGCCCCTACCCCTTTTCTCCCTTTTTTGGTCCAGACCTATGTGGTCAAGGGTGTAGGAAAATCCCAGTGAGAGACTCCTTCTACCAGTGAAGATTTCACCTCTCTACATTTAAGTCTTAGAGAGTTGCCTCGGGCTCTGAGAATGACTTATTCAGGGTCATACAATCATTATGTGTCATAGGTGAGACTTGGATCCAGGTCTTCCTAACTTCAATGTGTGATCTCTATTCACTATAACATGATACCTCTTACTTTGACCATAACAATTGCACAGTAAATATTTGTGATAATGAGTTGAAAAGATGAGTGAGTGATTTGTGATCATCTAGCCTCGGCAGTTTGATCACTTAGAGCCAGCATGGCTTGTGATGACTTGGAGGAAGCCATAGTTGGCATGCTCATCAAATTTGGAGATGACTCAAAGCCAGGAGGGATAGCTAACACCATTGGATGACTGTGAATAAAACCAATGACCAAATCAGATCCAAAAAGATCTTGAAAGGGCAGAACAACAGGCAGAATGTAACAAGATGAAATTTCATAGAAATTTTACATGTTGTGCCACTCCAATAGAATGAAAGCTTGATGAGAGTAGGGACTATTTTTTCTTTTGTCTTTGTGTTACAAGAGTCTTGCATACACTAATCAGTCCTTGACAAATGCTTATTAGAATGGATTGGATCAGATTGGCATTCAAAAAATATTAAGTCACATAGTTCAATGTAAAATAGCAGTAAGTATAAGACATAATACATACATAGACACACACACAATGTTGTCTGTGGAAAAAACCCTCAGGATTTTAGTAGACTGAAAGCTTAATATAAGTCAACAATGTCTCTTGGCCTTTATATAACAGAAAAAAATGCCAAAGCAGTCTCCAACTGTATTAATAATTAATGATCAACAAAAATAACCATAATTAATAATTATTACTGACACTTACATAGCATGTCAAGGTTTCACTGGCACTTTATATTCATCATACTACTGTGAGGTAAGTGTTATTATTATCCCCCTTTTAAGGATGAGCAAACTGAGGCTTGGAGAATTTCATTTCCCCAGGATGTTATTGAGGAGTTTTTTGACTAGGTATGTTTTAGACTGCATAGCCTCTGTGTCCCACTTTTACCCTAAGATACTGGAATTTTCTTCTCAAAACATTTTCCTTCAACCAGTTTTTGAGGCTGCTGTAATAGCAATGTCTGCTATCTCCTTAAGAACTCCCCATCCAATACCTTTCTGTCACCTCTTTCTCATTACATGCATACCTCTTTTCCTCCTCCATGCTATGAAGATCCGAGCATAGCTCAGCAGTAGAATGACAACCAACACAATGCCCAGTGCCAGGACCCAATGCTTCTCCATTGTGGGCTTTTCAGGGACTAAAGGGAGAAAGGGTAAATGTAAGTAGGCATACATTCAATGAAAGAAAGGGGAAGGGAATGGAACTACACTTTGGAACTTACTTTCCTAAGGATGTGATGGCAATACCTGGAAGAAGCACTAACCTGGATACACAGCAGGGGTCTTCAACTCACTGTGTTCCACCACACAGGTATAACCCATCCCTGAGTCTTCTGGTGGGAGCTCTAAGGTAACTTGGAGGTAGAAGGTGGAATCTGCATTGGGCAGGGTGCCACTGGAAGTTTCCTTTCCCCAAATACCCAGCTTCCCATTCTTCTCCCAACGTAGCAGAATGGAGCGAGGGTAGAAGCCTGTGGCTGTGCAGGAGAGAATGATGTTGCCTTCTCGGTTGACACGGCGAGACACGGTCACCTCAGGGGGCACTGGGAGCAGAGACCAAGAAAGAAGACCTCATGTCACAACTCAATGAATATTTGGTGTTTCCATTGTCTCTACTTTCATTGCCATTTCCAGTCTCCTTACTGTAGTATCCCTATCCCGTTGAGCCCAATGGACCCATCAGGTCCTTGAGGTAGCATGATAGCTTATACCACTTTGTATCTCCTTGGACACCCAAAAGAGTGCTAGATTAACACTAGTTACAGAGTCAACATCTGGTGTTGACATTGATGTTGATGACCACATCACCAACAACTTTCTAAACCCTCTTCAAGTAGTCTGATCTGCTATAATGGATTAAGAACAGAATCTTCTTCAACAGGTCAATTTTCCATATGGTCCATGATTTCATCAGTGTGGGTCCTTCTAATGGCCAAGATTGCAGACAGTCTATGCTTACTAGGCTATCCTTCATGTGTTTCTTTCCCTGCCCTCCCAAACCCCAACAAAATAAAAATTAAACATTACCTGGTGGCCAACCTCCTAGTGATGATGTTCTAAATTTGGCTAGATTGCTCATTAGAGAGCAGACAGAAAGTCCATCATTCTTGGGGCTGTACATAAACTTTTTTCCATCTTGGTAGGACATGGCAGAGTATGTTTTCAGCTGTCATAGCCTTTGAGCTTGTAAGATCATCCCCATGCCTTGATGAGGCAGGTAGGAGCTTAACTTAAGCAAAAGAAATAAAGAAAGATGGAAGGAAAGACAGAAAAAAGAAGGAAGGAAAGAGAAAGAAAGGAGAAAAGAATAAAAAGTGGAGAGAGAAAAAAGAAAAACAAAAAGAGAAAAAGAAAAAAGGTGAGTAGGAAAGGACAAAGGATGGAAAATGAAAAAGAAAAGGAAAAGAAAGGAAATGAGAAAAGAAAGCAATAGAAAAGGAAGAAAGAAAAAGAACCTCAACCTTTCTCACACTTCTCTGATTTTCCCATTGCGAATTGGAGCTATGGTCAGAAGCCAAGGATCCTGCCTGTTTCTCTGGGGCTCCAGTTACTGGGCAGTATGATGGAGGTAACCTGGACCTCCTGGGAGGAGATGGGAAGAAGCAAACACTCACCGTCATCTCTTACATTTTTGTACCCAACGATTTTCCTCATCAAGTCAACACAATATTGATTCGTGTAGTGTTTCCTTAAATCAGTCCAGAAGAGACTCTCCAAAATGTGCTGGTATTTCTTGAATTCAGGCTTTAAGTATTTCCAGTGCCCAACTTCTTCATCTATCCTGTAAATTTCCTCTCCATCCCCAATTATATGGATGTGGCTCTTGACCTTGATGTTACTGTCAATTTCACAGTCTGCAAGCAGCTGTCCCATGTGGTTTCCTGTGGAGGGACATTGGGGTGGGTTCTTCTGGGACTGGTGAAGAGAAGGAGATCAGCAACTAGGATCAACTGCAGCCCATCTCTAAACTGTGGGCATAAACAAGGGCATAGAGCCCTCATCCTCTGAGTTCAGGTTTATTGATTAAGAAAGTTTGGAATGTAGTGAAAGTCCTTGTGCTGAAGGCAGAGCTGTCTTAGAAGGATTATAGGAAGAGGTGGTGAGCCAGATGTTGAACCAACTGGCTGAGGCCTAAGGCTCAGGGATGAATTCTTTAAAGCTCTAAAGGCTCAAAGTAAGGAGACCAGTGAGGAGTCTATTGTAGGTGAGAGGACCCAAACTAGCATTCATTTCAGTGGTATGATCTACTGGGGATGGATCTATTGGACTTGGAAGAGAAATAGACAAGGTATGATAAAAAGAGGGAGGGGGAGATGAGTGGGTTTGCTCACTGTTATGGTTAGTGTCATTCTTTGCGAAGTACTCCATTATCCAGGTGAAATGTTTCTCATGATCCAACAACAAATTATGCCTCTGGGTAATGTAATTGACTCCCAGAACTTCAGAGATCCAGGGTATCTTGATAATAATTTGCCGACGTACTTTGTTATAGGATCCCACTTCAACATCATCCATGAAGCTAATTCCAGTTAGTTCCAAGAGAGCATTTCTTGTGCCCACTGAAGTGAACTGACCCACATGCCTGTGGTGTGCTGAATTATAGGAAGGAAGGGAAGAAGAGAATATGGTGTTTCATGTTTGGGGTTACCAGAGGACCAGTGTTTCCTCTCATCCA